TTTGTCCAGTTACAACGTTTACATGCTTGTTATTTCTTATTTCACATGCAGAAAAAAAGATGGAAAAGCTACTGGAGACATTTTTGGTGTTTTGGGTATAACAAAAACAAACAGCGAATTGGACATGCTGCTCTTGTTCCTGAAACCCCAACCACTGGAGCAGATGCTCCAACAGCTGAAAATCTATCCCAACCACTTTCCATAGTACTTCCTTTTGTTGCACCACCTTCCTCTCCTGCATCATTCCTTCTGTCAGAACCTCCTTCAGCAGCCCAGTCGCCAACTGGCCTCTTATCGCTCACCTCAATATCAACAAATATCTATTCTCCTGGTAACCGTTCCTCAATTTTTGCCATTGGTCCTTACGCTCATGAGACTCAGTTAGTCTCTCCACCTGTATTTTCAACATTTACCACTGAACCATCAACTGCCCCCTATACTCCTCCCCCTGAATCAGTTCACTTAACTACACCTTCCTCTCCTGAAGTGCCATTCGCACGGCTACTTGAACCCAGCTTCCAAAGTGGTGAAGGTGGTCAGAGATACCCAAATAAGTAGATATCAAAATTTGAAATAATGCACCTTGAAAGTGAAAATAAAAAATTTACGATATATGAAGATCTAAGCATTATGCACTTAGCAAGATAATTACATTCTCTATGCTAAGTGAACAAATAAATGTTTCGTGCCAATTTGATCTTATTATTATTTTTATTTTTTAAGTAAAATCTTTGTATCTGACAAATGAATTCGACAATTATGGATCGGAGGAATGGGCGTCAAATTTCAGGCAAGTTCTTTCAATTTATTTTATGGAAGGAGGAAATTTCCTTTTTTTCTTCTATTTAAAACATACAGAATCATAAAGACGAAAATACTATTAAAAAAAATCAATTATTTACGACCGTGATGTGTATAGGAAAAACTGTTATGGGGGTACTAGCCGTACTTTAATTGAATGTTGGCCAAAAAAAAAATCACCAAATAGGTGTTGCGCTGACAGCACCTGTAAGCTGCTTGACAGTTATTTTTTCATAGTTTTTTTTATTTGTACAAAGTACCGTCAGTGATGGCCAACGATATAATGGAATGACATTAGTGCTTGTCGGTGAATATGCATCGATAATAGCCGATGAAATATTAAAAATAAAATAAGTGAAGAAACTATAATTGTTTATTTGTCAGCTTTCAGCTATTGAAGCACAATCGGAGAGATTGCCGATGATAAAATTCTTGGTTCGAGTGGTTCAAGTGCTCCTAAATATCTAGTTTTCACTCTACGTCATGATGTCTTGCGATGTTACCCATGTTCTCCTATTCCTTTCTAACCATAAAGTA